GGGCGGTGCTACTGACTGAAGTGTCTTTAGGCCGTTCCCAAAGGGGGGATTACCATGTCCTGTTGCACTGTAAAATTGTAAAATTGGCTAATTCATCGATGTCATGCTCATCATAACTGTGCCGGAATTGCAACAGGGAACTACTGCTTTTTCTTTCCTAATCCTTACTATCGTCACTTTCCTCAACTTATTTTGTGTGTTTATCACACTCTTGTGACCCGCGGTTTCCGGGGTGCTTTGATAGTCGAAGCAGACTTCGTGTTGTTGAAGCTTGAGAGGTGAGCAAGAGTAAACCCGATTCCCTGTAAGGACTTCTCTGTTGACATCCACCCCTTGGCGCTCATGTGACCTTATGCAGTTGCGAGCGCCGTAAAACCTCTACTAATTTACTAAAACATAAACTAAATGGTTATAGCCTCACATCAGTAATAACTGTACGATGGATATTATCTATAGATTATTATTTTGTGTAGGTTAAAGTCTAGGTGTAATTGCTGCACTCCGTGACCCCACAACCTGCTTCCCTTAGGTATGAATAATGTCAGAGATGGAGACTGTATTGATTTAATGACGTGAAGCAAATTAAATAATGAGCGACTCATGTTACTGGTTTCGAGAATTGACACGAACCAGGCACGCCCACGGTAGCGTTGTATCTCACTCCAGACTCCGTGACAGACATACTATTTTTATATTGCTATCATGCTACTTCAGAATTACATACATGTAGTTCTATTTGACATTTTGGGCCGTTTTGAGTTACAAAGAGGCCAGAAACCACTTGTTCTATCTGTACTATCAAAATTGTAAGGTTATTCGGAGTTGTCAAGATATTCAAAAAATTGCATTCGAAAAAGCTTGACATGTGAAACTCGATTTTTTTATGTGTAAAATTTCTCAAAACTAGGTACTGAGCAGTAAACTTTGTAATTCTAAGGTAGCGATTCGTTATTAGTTATTTGGTTGCTTAGGTGTTTCCTGCTCTCAAAAATTCTAGAGAAGATTGCAAAGTCAAGTATTAGCTCACATTCACATGAAAAAAAAATGGTCTTGAGGAAATTTACATATTATATAT